TTTTAATCAAATTTTATATAGTAAAATTTAAGAAATAATAATTGAAAAAAGTTATTATTAGTAAAAAATTTTTTTATAAAAGATATATAATAAAATTTTTTACATTTAAATAAATTCTGATACCTAATAACTTAATTAAATAAGACAGAATTAAAATTTTTTTTTGAAAAATAATCTATTAATATTTATCTGAGGTACAAATCTTTTTGCACCAACCCATAATTATTATAACATAAATCGTTACTAAAATTCCAAATTATTGATATTAAAATTTCATATTGACTATCTATATTCTAATTCTTAATTCTAAACTCTAGCATAAAATATTGAAATACAACAGTAATAATACTGTCTTTGAATTCCAGTCAAAAATCAATCGATTGATCCATCCTCGAGATAGTTAAAAAATGAAAAATATGCAGATATTATAATAATGATAATTACTAGAACGATTATCCACTTTGTTGTACTTTCGAAAGAATGACTCTTTTAGTAAGGGACGAGTAGTAGAAATAAAAACTACGTTAAAAAAAATTACCAAGCAACCCGCTAAACACGATATAATGATAAACATGCAATTCAGATACAGTAGTTATGTAAAATACTTTGAATATAGTATAAAGAGAAGACAATCAATATATTGACATGAAATTCGTTACAATATTTGGTTTATAAAAAGGGGGAATTAGTATGAATAAAAAGAAAAATTAAATTTGATTTCTATATAAATGTCTGAATTGGTGCTAATTTCTTTTTAAAGTTTGACGGAAAGAATCTTATCACATGAAGTAAGTTCATAGGTGCCGATATTTCTTGCGTGTCTGGCGGACAATACTAGAGGAATAGAAGCTGATCGCATCGCATGTTGATAAGTATGATAGAATTTGTAAATGTTGAAAAGTATCAGCATTAAACTTATTTTCATCATACAATACGATGTAATGTGCTGTTCCTTTAAGATTGCAATGAGAATATGAGCAGAAATAGATGCGGACGTATGGTTTTTCGATCGATGATTGTTCTAGAAAGACAATTATCACTTGTATCATCAATGTTTTTACTGTCTTTATCGACGATGATAAAGTAATCGAAGGATCATAAGTTTTTGCATTTTCATCACTAAATATGCTTTTAATCTCAATCAATTCATCTATCCTTCCTTAATCTTTTCAGCGATGATACATTGCCGGTCTTACTTCTTAGAGATTCTGATTCAATCTATGCTCATAGACTGCATGTGAATTTTGCATCGTTTAGAAGACGAATGATAGGCAATAATCGGAGGATCCAAAGTTATACCGGAAGTCACTGTTAACTACTACACCGAAATCCTTAAGTTTGAATCATTAACAACTCCAACAAATAACCAATATCTTGACTCTTAAGAGGAACTATATTGAAGGTTAAATGTTTGCGAGTTGATCACCATTAAGAATTTTCAGCTGAACACGTATTCCCTTTGATCATTAAAGTAGCCAAACATCTGTCTTTATTTACTCAATTTCCGCTGCATGAAGATATTTAAGCTAAATATTGTAATATCATCCTTTATATTTGTAGCGTCTCTAAGCGTAAATGTATGTCCTTGGCTTTCCTTGGCGAAATACAACTAATTGATGGTTTAGTTTTGACGTCTGGTCGATATAATACGTTGACTTTCAATATGCAAAAGACTATGTTGATTCTTCTTTGTAGTACTTCGTCGATGGTTGCAGGCAAATCACGAAGACCGAGAAATTCAGACAAGTACGCAAGCAAAGCTTTTTTTCCGTTGAATACAGTGCTAGTACGATTCTTGCCCGGAACGAACACTTGCCATAACTCCAAACCAAATCAAAATCGCACCTTTGAATTGTAAGACGCATCAAATCATCAAACTTTCCATATTGAAAAACCCTAATGAAAAGTTCTCGCTTGCACGTAAATACGGCGTTCATTGAGATCAAATGGATCCAACAAAATAATTTGTCACTCAAATCCTGATCATCATCAAGCTACGCCGAGCGGTTTTCATGTTGATGGATTTATCAGTGTGCAACGTTTTGAAAGAATTCTCCCTAACGCCGTTCACTTTCGGAGGTTTTGGTCTTGTCGCGTATCGGAACTTCCTTCAACTGCTGCATCAAAGGGTTCCTTGATTTCGACCGCACATTTGATCCATGTTGTCACTTGGAAGTTTTTCAATTCAGGGTAGTTAACACAATATATTTCTTATGGTATTTATTTGTGTGGTGCATACGGTATGGCCACTATATCTAATTTTATTTGCGCACGTGTGCAAAATAGGGAATTAACAATACGAAATTTGTAGCCACCGCAGTAGAATTTCATGTTTTTCTGGGTTTCATGAGACTATTACGTATTAAGACTTAAGACGTTTTGGTGACAATAGATAGAGGGGGTCTAAAAATTCACGGTTCGATGAAATTTTATTTGATGGCAACCAAAGGTTCTGCTGATTATGTATGTAAGATCTCATTTTTAGAAGTTCCAGAAATATCTGTTAAATTTGATATTAACAATTTTAATTTTTTCTGGAATTCCAAAGTATGAGATTTTGCATACACAATCAGCGGAACCTTTGATGTGATACTTTGCTTTGAGGTGGTTATATGAAAAAAATATTTACCTAATGCTCAAAAAGGTTATAGTCCATCATTTTGAATAGTTTCTCGATTATCAATTTCTCAGGTCATAGGGTATCGTCATTTTTTTGGAATTAACCGAGATTAACGTAATGCAAAAATCACTGGCTGCGAAAATTTTATTCCTCAGCAAAAAAAATGACATACTAAAAATTACAATTTCTTGGAAGAAAAACACCTCTATGAAGCAAATTCAGAAATTACTTATTGCATTTGCATCTCAAGCGCCTTCTCTGTCCTTATTTAGCCTAACAAAAGAAAGGATGTTCGCGAAAACAGAGATTATCCGGCACTTAACTAGCCCAAAAGTAAGCATAAATAATTCGCTTCGCGGACTCTATTTGGTAATGGTTAATTTACTTTTTATCAAAATTTATTTGTTTGTTCATTTTATATATCTATATATGTTTTTATTTCTTTATCTATTCATAATCGATATTTATTCTTTCTAAATTTATTTTTTATGTACATTAAGAGTATACAAGATCATATCGATATTAAGCAATTACGAAAATTTACTAGCAAGGGAAATGATAGTCAAGAGAAAAAAAGAACTTCTAACCTTTACCAAAGCGTCCAATATCCCGAAATCTGTGCTCTCTGTGCTTTACATAATCTACAGCTGAAATTAGATCCTTCTCGAGCGGGAGGACATTTAATTGGTGATACGCGAGCTGGTAATAACAAGAAATTCTTTTTGCTTAATAATTTCAAAATAAATAATTTATATATATTTAAGAGGTGGGCGCGAGCATTTTCGATATATCAATTTTTTTTTACAAAATTCCCTTTTAAAAACTTGAAAAAGTCAAATGATCGAGGGTTTTATTTGGAATTTTGTAGTTTTTTAACTGGGAATTTAACACACAAAATTTTTTATCGTTATAATTTTTTTAAAAATTAATATATATATTAATATATATAATATATATGTTAATATATGTATGTAAATTTTGAGCTTTTTAGCTTACAATTTTATTAGATCAAAAAAATCATGGATTAAATTTAACTGATTGTCATTACATTACATTGTTTATTGTTTTATATTTATAAAAATATATTAAATAATTAGAAATTGAAAGATTTTAATATATCAGGAATGGTAGATGTGAATTTAGATTACCATTTACTCGTGTGTTTGATGTTGCCGCTTCCGCCCAAGGAATTTTACCCAAGTGACTTTTCCATTTTTCTATGCTATAGAAAGCAATTATCAACAAACCTTCTTATATTTTTTATTTATTTGGATAAATATTTTTAATAATAAAAATCATAATTCGATATTTTATTTTCCAAAATTTATATATACTAATACCGTAAGTTTAACCCTAACCTAACCCTAACCCTAACCCTAACCTTAACCCTAACCTTAACCAGAGCTTATAACATTATAACCTTAACAATTGTTTGAATACCAAAGAATTGTTTAGGTCCGTAACAGAACAAAGTGTCCTCTCTAAAGTACCGCCCAAATTAAGCAAAATCATAAACTTGGCAAGATCCTCAATCAGATATTTGAATCTTCTATTATTTCTAGCCATGAATACCCTCCGGAACGCGTGAAGACCTAACCAACTAACTTGTCTTTCCCAAGCTGACGCAAAAAGATCCTCAAGAGTGATAAGTTGGTTCATGTGCAAGAAAGCATCGCGAATCAAGTTTGCCAAAAATATATGGGACATTTCAACTTTATTCGATGCCAACTCCTCTACGTATTCGCGAAATCGCAAAGCAGCCATTAAAAAAATTTGGTACAAGTTTAGACGTGCTGTGTAAACCGAGTTCAACTTGACACTCATGAAAACTTCATGACAATTCTGCCTTAACCAACTATTTTTTTTTTTGATGGAAGATTTCAAAGTGATTAGAACCTCCCTTTTTTTTTAGCAAAAAATCATTACCACATACTTTGTTAGTCTTTGTCTCAAAGCCAATGACTGGTTTTGCGAAAATTCTATTGTAATTTGGTGACGAATGGCTAAATGCAAATAATTAGAGTAGTCACATTTTACATTCAATGTTTTCGAATGTATTAATAAGCCGCACCAGGGAACCTCCACTTGACATTTATTGACCTGATCATAGTCAAAATTTGCCAAGCTTTTTTCTTTGTTGATAAAGCATCCATACTCCGGATGTCCTTCAAATAAAAATACTCTATATGGAGACCTTAATAAATAAAAGAGGAAAAAAATAAGGTCGTATCAAAATATGAATCTTATAATAACTCACCTTCACACATCACATCTAAAAATTGAACTGCTTTGTTTTTTTCCGTGGTAATGTAGAGAAAATCATCCACCCATCTCAAAAGCAACTAGTTATATTAGGTAAATTTATAATTTAAAGCAGTAGCAATATTTTATTGTTAACCCATCAATTAAGAATTACCCCATCGCTCCCGCTAAATAAACCCAGTTTATTTTTCTCAAGGTCATTGAAAAGGAAGTTACATAGAAGTGTGGAAATGATCGATCCTTGAGGTATTCCTTCATACTGATGATATATGTCTTCCCCCTGAAACCAACGACAAAGATAAAAAAAATGAATTAAATAAATTAATATCAAAAATTATAAGCTATGAACTAAACATTCCGCTTACCTTTATTACATTCTGTTTTACGTGACTTTCGAGGAAACGTAATACCTCCCGATATTCCTTGGTTTGATAGGTAACACCATCCACGAATACTGTATCTCTCAAAGATTCAGCCAAAGTATTTGCAATCTCAGGAAACTGAGGAATCTCGTCTAATAATAGCGAAATCACATAAATGACAAAATTGTGTATTTAAACAGAAAATTTATTTACAATCGCAATAGATTACCAGCTGGATACGCTTTTTTCTCGTATTTGATGAATTGTTTCTCACGAACTTTGGAAACTGTTGTATATTTGATCAGCTTGTAATTTTCCTAGAATATTCATTATTTCCTGTTTAGATTATCAATTAAAAGATTTAATATATAACATATGAGATACATACGTTTTTAAGTATTTTGATCAAGACATTTAAAAGCAAATCTTGGTTGATTGAATCAAAACAGCATTTTACATCTACTTTTGCAAAGTACAATTTTGGCCTACATTAAAGACAAAATTTATAAATCAATTAATGTAAAAATTACCAACAATAAATTTATTTACTTGGGCATTGTTAAAGTGCTCTTGTAACTCAGTAGTTTATGATAAATATCTTTATAATTATTAACAAATCCGCCAGATTTTCCGATATGCCTATCCTAAAGAGCCAAAAAATAATTATATATATACTTAATAAAATATCCAAAATTAAAGTTAAACCTTCTCCATATTCAAAATCGCGAATGCGTTTTTTCGGAGTACAGTAATTGAAGTGGCCTTTTGATTTTTAGACATGTTTTGAGCAACTGAAAGGTGATTTTGTTCTTTAGCGTTAGCGTTAGAAAAATCTTTGAGGAATTGATACAATGCAGATGTTAAAAATAGCCAGCACATATGATTTTCACAACCTAGTCGCGTCTTAACTTTAAAACTACAAAACTTTAGCGTTCTTGTAATGCACACGAATTTAACGATATGCAAAATTCATCATAGTGAGCGCACATCAAATATACGGGATTGCGCACTGACCCGTGTGCAGGTCAATTTCGCGTCGTTGGATAGATTAGCAAATCTGTCCGATCATCTGTATATTGCCCAGGTACAAATAGTGCTATTATTCGTATTTACGATATTGTTCATTTTTGGCTTGCAACTACATCGCCAGCATGATTAATAATAAAAAGATAACTGTAAACTGATATTTTCATTGTAAGCTCTGAATAATTCTAGTAATTCAATAGCTTTCTCAAAAGTATCTCGATGCATTACAGTATTAAAAAGAATGCGCGTGAAAAAAAATAATGTTCAATGAGCATTATTGTTTTCGTCTATTTGTCATCTTGACTATTGGTCGATATCCATTTGTCTTTGGCACGAAACGCACAGTAGAGACTATGACCTCTTTGTCCTAATGTTTAATATAAGATGGTTAATCTAACATACCCGCCTATTAGGTAAATAAATGGATAATCAGTTTACCTGTGACATTTTCTTGAAGTTTGTCTCTAGGAATCGGTCAAATTCCATTCTCGTGATTTCTTTCCAAACGTCTTGCCGAAAGTAATAAACGAGATTTTTTTCTGATTGGGTGTCAGTTATGTAAAAATTTGTCTAAAATACAGATAAAAAATACTAGTTAAACATAATGTAAAATAAATAACAATAAAAATAACTCACGCGGAGTAGCGGGATCACAAGCCCATCAAATATCCAAAGAATGAATTCAGATATAATGCGAGCACGTCTCTTCGGATCATGGGAATTTATCCATGTACAGCGTTTCGTCTAATTATTGAAAAGATATAGATTAATTTAATAATAATTACAAGTAATCATTATAGATAGTGCAAAGAATTCATTTTTACGCGAAAAAAAAACCTTGAAGCACTGAAGAGCATAATGCAATGTCATTTTTTCAAACTTGCCGAGACGAATGAATCGATCTACAGCTAAAAAGAATTGAAAAATTACGTTAAAATAATATAAATTACAAATTATTATATATATACCATTAAACACTACGTTTTGATTATGCTGACAACCCCAAAATTCTGCAGGTATCAACATTTTAAGAATTCCTTGAGCAAAGTTTGAAACTTGTTCAAAAGAAGTAGCCACTTCTTTAGGGATTCCTGATTCTATATTTTTAAACTACATAAAAAGAATAATAAAGTGAATAATACATTAGCATAACAAATGCTATTAACTTTGCTCACCTTGACAGGACAAACGTTTTTCAAATAAGTAGAGTAATGGATTCGCTTATGTGAAGAGATCATTTTCTGTATTAACGCCAAAGCCGGTTGAAGGCATTCGAGAGCGGTGGCTTTATCCTTTTATGCAACAATTGTAAATATAATCTTGAATTAAATAATAAGCACGAACACAATGACTTACCTCATGTTCACAATCAAACCCATCATCGAAAGTTTTAATGTTACTAGTTAATTCGAATTCTTCTTTAAAGATTTGTGACAGTACATATTTTGAATCGTATCCTTCTTTTTTCCGTTTTACCTTTGCCAAGATATCTAAATTTTCCGACCTAAAAGTGAGTATGTTTTCTTATATATCACGTAAAAATATAATAATACATACGATTTGATGGTAAACCTAGCCATACATTGTTGTGGCAACTAGATTTAGATGGTATAGCTCGTCTATAAAATATATAATCACGCTTAAATATCACGGCTGAGAAGGATCTTTCAATACTGCATTTAATTATTGTTTAAAAATGAGAAGTTATCAATAACATTTATAGAGCATTTTTTTTAACAAGTATTAGGTTTACCTTTGGACTTGTTGATCGAATCGAGGCATTTTTCTCGAAAATTCGCTCAGTCTTTCTTCGCGTACTCGTTTTTTTAACCGAGGCGGATTAACAGTCTCAAATGGGATACCTAGTAAAATAAAAGTTATTACAAAAATACCGGAAAGATATATTAGATAGACTCAATTATTTACCTGAAACTTGATAATAAGAATCGTTACGTAAATAGACAAAAATGGAAGTCCATCTTAACAGAGAAACAAATTTGTATTTTCCGATCCTGAATAAGAAAAGAGAAAAGTTACAATTGAAATAGTTAAAACTGAATGAATTAAATTTGCAACAAAAATTAACCTTTGATAGAGAGTGCACCAATTCTCCGAATGTATCAGATTTCCGATAATGGTATTTGGATAATGATTAATTATCCCATTTTGAACATTCCCCTGTTAATTTAATCAAGCAATACGGGATATTAACTTTTTATTATAATCTCGTTAATTAAAAAAAAAAAGAAAACAACAAACAGTCCAATATCCCCGCATTAAGACATTTGTGGTGTCATAATCCTTCATATTTTGAGGATTGTATTGTCGCAAAAGAGAATGGACAACAGCAAGTACAGCCTAATAATAAATAGTAACCTTAAATAACAAATCGACAAAAACTTTATGAATGCTACGTTAGTATATCCACCTTTTTTAAGCTATTAATCAATTCTCCATCAAGCGATTTGACAAAAGAATCACGAATTGTGTCGAACTTTGAATCATATTCAACATAAGTCGTGTTCAAGAAATTTCTGTATTCGTCTGTATCATCACCTTTAGCAAATGTTTTCGAATCGAGTTCCCAGGTTTTCATGAGAAATTCTTTCAAGGTCACGATATTGGGATATTTACTTTTCAGTATTCCTGCGGATGGTTCTCGAGAGATTTCAGATTTCTTGGGAATAGGATCTTGCGGAAGAGAAGAAATCAAAAATTCATCGAGTGATTTTGGTGGTGTCCATAAACCAATATCCAAATAATATGATGGTGTGTAGCTAGGCGGCGACGACTTGAAAAATTTACGGGCGTCTTGTAAGTTTTGTCGACCAGGTGAGATATCACCATACGTGAAGGTAAAATTTCTAATGAGGAAGTATGGTTCCAGAACATTCTGGTTGATGAATCTTGTCTTTAACGAGAATTCTTTCAAGATCACAAAGGTGCCATTTTCTAATTTCCACGTAGTAGCAGATGCAGAATCGCTTTAAAAGAAATAACAATGTAAAAAAAAATTAATATAGAATTTT